AAAAAAAAAAAAAAACAGCTACATACTTGAAGATCGATAAAAGTTAAAATGATGATAGTTGCTTTACTAGCAAATTGTTAGATTATCTCAAATTTTAGACCTATATAGAACAAATGATACCAACTAACAAACAAACAACGTGATGCAACCTTCAACGATCGATTTCAACAAACTGACTATCGATTTGAAGAGGTGGACGTGCGTTTCACGGATTGGTTTGCAGATCTTTCGACGGGGATCGAGGATGTGTGTTTGACGCCGAACAACGTGATTGCTACGAATTTGCAGATGAACCGTGCCACCGGCGACCGGGGTGTGCGCGGGGGAGTTCACGGAGGAAGTGGAAGTCGTGGTCCAGGCGGGGCGCCCCGTCAACGATCTCCACAACCACCGTCCGGCGATGCAGATGGCGAGGAGACCATCTTGGAGGTAGATCCCTTCGGAGAGTGGCCGCCTCCGCCCGTCGAGACTAACCTCGTTGCTGCACACAACGGCCAACAAGGTATGATTTTTGAGGAGAATGACGGACTATTGTACGACGGTCCGCCTGTTTTTTATGAGGAGCCACTTGTGGCGTCGATGGAGGACGAGTACCATGTGGTTGTAGAACCATCTATGAGGCCAGAGGTTGTGCCTGGAATGGATGTTTTCAGTGAATTGGAAGATGGATTTTCATGGTCTTTTATTCAACAAGCATATGTGTTTGATAACTCGCATAGTGTGCCCAAAAAGGACAAAGTGGAGAGTTGCTGCCATAGATTTTCTGCTTGTGAGTATACCAAGTTCATGGCCCGTCAAATTGGCCCGATAGGGATTGTGGAGCAGTTGAAGACGAGATTACTTCGGATTCGAGGGCGAATCCTTTTCGACAGGGGGAGAATGATGGAGATAAGGATGTTTAGAATCTTTAATTATTATTATTATTATTATTATTATTATTATTATTATTATTATTATTATTATTATTATTATTATTATTAGTGGTATTATAGATTTGTTAGGAAACTTATTATTTATCACTTTGTTAGTATTCTTGTCTTGTTAGACAAGTTAGTATTATTAGAGATCTTGTCTTGTTGGACAAGTTAGAAATAGGGTTTTGGAGTCGTATTTAAAGGGCTCATCATATATTGTTTTAGTCAGTTGATTTGAATAAAAATATGAATTGATTGTGAGTTTTATCGAGAGAGTATCTCGTTTTACGTGTTTTACGAGAGAGTATCTCGTTTACTCGTTTATCCTTCCCACTCGTACGCTTTCCCTACATCAAGAAGCCTCCAAATCAGTGGTCAAGATCTCACTTTAGTTTAACACCTAAATGTGATATCTTGACCAATAACATGTGTGAGAGCTTTAATTCACTTATTCTGTCTGCTAGAGAAAAACACATCATTGGGCTGTTTGATACTGTGAGAAACATCATGATGGCAAGGATGCATACCAACAGGGAGCAAGCAAAGAAATGGGATGGTTGTATCTGTCCTAGGATAAAAATGATTTTGGATGGGAACATGAAGAAGGCAGGAGAACTCATTCCTATGAGGTCTGATGAGTGGAATTTTCAAATCATGGGGCCTTTTGAACAACACACTGTTGATGTTCTTGGAAAATCTTGTTCTTGTAGGAAGTGGGAATTGACTGGGCTCCCATGTAAGCATGCTATTTCTGCCATTTGGTGTAGAAAAGAAGAACCAGGGTGGTATGTTGATCATTTGTACACTGTTGAAACATATAGAAAGGCATATGAAGTGCCAATATTAGGGATAAATGGTCCTGATTTGTGGCCTAATGTTGAGCTTCCCCCACCTATCCCTCCTGCAATTGTGAAGAGACCTGGAAGACCTAAGAAGGCAAGGAGAAGAAATCCAACTGAGCCACCAAGTGCATTGCCTCATAATCCCCTGAGATTGAAAAAGCACCAGAGGAGTGTGACATGCAGAGTTTGTGGAGAACATGGCCACAATGCTAGAAAGCATAAGAAGGTTGACCAAAATGAAGAACAAGAGGAGATCCCAGTGAGTGAATCTCAGCCTCTACCAGCTACTGACAATGTTTTCTCAAGTCAGTCACTTGCACCAACACCTGCAAACAACAACAATGATGTTGAAGCTAGCAGAAATAGGGTAATTTACCCTTTTTATCTTCTTTTTTAATTGTACATCATCCTCATTTACTATGTTTTTTACTCTGTCTTTTGATTTAAACTTGTCAAATTTATTTTGTCTATTTTTATAGTCTCAGGAAAAGACAAGAATAACAAGGAAGAGAAAAAGCAGTCAGTTGGATGGAAATTGCAATGAGGATCAAGGACAGACTGTCAATGTGAGTTATTGTGTTATAGAAGTGAAAATTTTATTTCAGTTGGATTGGATTTTGAGTTCTTTGTGCAAAATAATTCCTTAATCACTTGTACAAATGCAGGTCACTCAATCTGAGGGAGTCACTTGTCCTGTTGTGGTGAAAGGAGGTGTGAATTACATAACAGTCTCCAACATCAGAGCTGCTTTGAGGCCAAGGAATGGGGCAGCTTCTGGTAAGGACAAGACTGCAAACAAGTAACTCTGGATTTGTGTTGGCTTATTCTGAAATTATGTTGTTTGACTATTTGGATTTATTTTGTTTTAATTGTGTTGTGATTGATATCTGTGATGATTCTAGCTTGACTGTGGACTTTTATTTATGATGATGGATTTTTTATGATGGATTGTGGTTTATGATGATTCTGGCTTGACTGTGGAATGTGTTTTTGTGGTGATTGACTGTGGATTTCTATTTATAATGGATTGTCAAGATAATGTTGATTGAGTTCATTTTCTTTGATTGAGTTCAGACTAAGGATAATATTGCATTTGGTTAAATAATTTGTAATGGGATTCATATGTTGGAAAATGAAAATGCTGCTTTCATTGACTTAGAAAATGCTGATTACATAAGTTGCATTTGCTAATTGCTAATTTTTGCTACTTAGTACATAGAACACAATTACTACAAGTAGAAAAAATACTCCTACTTTTACAATGGAATTTTTCTTTTCATTTTTCAATGCAGTTAGTTGTTTTTCCAAACTCTTATTCTTGCTATTGGCTTTCCTCAAATCAGCTTCCAATTTTCCTTGTCTTATCATGAAGTCATTGACCTCATCCTCAAGCTTGTTGATTTTTGAAAGCAGTCCGGGCATTATTTGTTTGGAACGAGCACACATTTTCGGATCCAACCACTTGTAAAATCCACAATATTCATTTGTCTGCAAGAGAGAATAATACAATCATAATTTTTTTTATGAATATGATAAAAAAGAAAAATCGAAAATAATACCCCGTATTTTGGACATGCCCAATATCTTCTTCCGGTATTGGTTTTTGTCTATGATGTCTTCAATGGGAGCTGTTCACCAAAAGGACACCAACATTTGTGGACAGGAAAATTATTATTCCAAGAAGAAGAACTGCTAGAATTACTTCTCATTTTTTTTTTTTTGATTTTTTCTAATTTTTCCTAATTTCTGTTGAGAGTGCGAATTTTGGTGGGAAAATATGGCTACATTAAGCCATATATATATAGAGTACAACAGGCGCGCAAAAAGAACACATTTCCCTCCTTTTTAACAGCTAACGGTGACGACTAACGGCCTTTTGACGGACAACTAACGTTAGGTACTAACGTCGCAAACGGAATAAAAGTTTGGGTATTAATTTTGCAACTATTAAAAAGTGAGTACTGATTCCGAAATGAACTTTAGTTTGAGTACCAAAAGTGCAATTTACCCTTTATTAAACCAACCGACTTACAAATTCACAAGTCACAAATTTTTCTCAATTGTAATAAGAAAAAAGTTTT